TCTATTTTCACTTAAAAAAACATCCTAGAATTGCACAAACTAGGCACCGCGCACAACCTCGGCATAGCGCACTACATTGGCTTTCCCCATGTACACATCGATCTATATTCACTTAAAAAACATCCTATAATTGCACAAACTAGGCACCGCGCACAACCTCGGCATAGTGCACTACATTGGCTTTGCCCATGTACACATCGATCTATTTTCACTTAAAAAAACCCAGAATTGCGCAAACTAGGCACCGCGCACAACCTCGGCATAGCGCACTACATTGGCTATGCCCATGTAAACATCGATATATTTTCACTTAAAAACATCCTAGAATTGCGCAAACTAGGCATCCGCGCACAACCTCGGCATTGCGCACTACATTGGCTTTGCCCATGTACACATCGATCTATTTTCACTTAAAAAAACATCCTAGAATTGCACAAACTAGGCACCGCGCACAACCTCGGCATTGCGCACTACATTAGCTTTGCCCATGTACACATCGATCGATTTTCACTTAAAAAACATCCTAGAATTGCACAAACTAGGCACCGCGCACAACCTCGGCATTGTGCACTACATTGGCTTTGCCCATGTACACATCGATCTATTTTCACTTAAAAAACATCCTAGAACTTGCACAAACTAGGCACCGCGCACAACCTCGGCATTGCGCACTACATTGGCTTTGCCCATGTACACATCGATCTATTTTCACTTAAAAAAACATCCTAGAATTGCGCAAACTAGGCACCGCGCACAACCTCGGCATTGCGCACTACATTGGCTCTGCCCATGTACACATCGATCTATTTTCACTTAAAAAAACATCCGAGAATTGCACAAACTAGGCACCGCGCACAACCTCGGCATTGCGCACTACATTGGCTTTGCCCATGTATATAGCGATCTCTTTTCACTTAAAAATCAGACATTGAATAAACTCTGCATTGCTCATATACTAAGAAATCTGCTTTCACTTAAAAGAAATCGGAGAATTGCAGAAACTCGCGCATAAGCAACTCCATTGATTCGCGTTGGAAAAAAAAAATGAAAAAAAAAAATTTCTAGAAAAATTGAGCTTACTACAGGCGAACCAAGATCCTAGCCTAATTGATTTCTCAGCCCTACATTTCTTGCAAATACTACCATTCGATGACTTTTTCTGACTAACTAATCAGCATGGTATCTCACATTTTTCCCACAGAGAAAACGTTATCCTTCAATAATCGACAATCCATCAAAAATCCTCTAAAAAGTTCATACTACTTTATTGTTTAATTCATACATAAAATATCTGTTCCCAAAATTTTACGCTTGTTTGAAAACTCCCACCTTAAATTTTTCCTTTATAATCTGCTGATATTTAATTACAACATCACTAACAGCAGTTTTACAGCAAGCAATAACTAAACGCAAAAATATCACCTCAAGTAGCCAAAAATATATATACAAAAATAGTATTCACGGTATCTGACCGTTAAACAATCGCCAATAACAGTGTTATGAATTGTGTATTTAGATATTAATTTTAGTAGAATTCTAATTTAAAATGTTGTATTTCCTCCTGCAACGCAGCGTGAGACAAATTTTAAGAGAAATCTATACCGGAAAAGTAAGAATACAGGGCACGTGCATTAAACTTTGAGTAAACGGATATGTCGGTAATTTGTATTGAAATTGAATAAATGTAACTGACTACTAAATTAGCTGTAACCGTAATTCCATCCTATTGTTTACATTGCGTTTGGCGAATAGTATGGGTTACCAGATCATATCATTTATCGCCGCTATTGGTGATATTTTTTTTTGTTTAAAATTCCAGGTGGGCTATACTAAAGCTGTGCCGCGAATTAAATCCTGATGACAATTTTTTTTTCAGTTTTATTTTTGTTATCTGAACTCAATTTACCTTGAGTTAGTGCATTGTATCTTTCTTTCTGTCGATCCACTACAGGCCTTTTTTGAAAGTTTCCGCAAACGTTTTCATAGGCATCAAGTTTTTCATCTAATTTTTTTGGATGAAATCATCTCTACCCACTCATCAAGAAAATGATCTCGAATTTCAGGAGGAACTCGACGTTTAAGTTGGTCAATCACCATCAAATCTAGCAACTGATCAAAAGTCTTAACTCCTAGACCAGTCACCCATTCTTTGCAATAATTTTCTATTTAATAATTGAAATCCACCTATGTGGATTCGGTACTCTTTTGATGTTTCATAAATTTCTGCCTAAACTTTTCCGGGCTTAGTTTAAACCGTCTTAACAATAAATTCTTCATGTGTTCATAGTCTTTAGCTTTATCGGAGGGTTCTATAGCTATTAACTGGGTTACTTCATAAGGAAGTAGTCCTAGTAAATGATAAGAAGTAAGGAAGTAATTCTTCTTTATCAATTTGAGCCCATTCTGCTTGCCTTTCAAACAATAGCAAATATAGACTGATATCTCCTTTCTTGTCATCGAATTTCTGCATAAGGTGACGCAGCTCCGTTTTCGGCCGGATCTGTCCGGTATTTTGAGACTTTGTCTCTGCTTCAAGTCTTAATCTCTCTAATTCATACTGTTCCTTCCTTCTCCGCTCTTCTGCTTCTTCCTGTCTCCTACGTTCTTCTCTTTCCCTTTCCTCCCTTTCTTTCCGTTCTTCTATTTCCTCTCTCTCTCTCTTTTTCTCTTTTCTCCCTCTCTTTCCGTTCTTCTATTATTGTGTCTAAGACTCCTTTGACGAATACTTCATCATAATCTCTACTTTCAACAATTTTCTGTTTTAAATCGGCTATTTTCAAATCTGCAGTCACACGAACGCCCAGTTCAGCCGCGATATTTTTCAAATCTTCCTTACGAGCTCTTCCTAAGTAAGACATTGTTTCTATGTTTAAAATTAACGAACACTGTGTTCTTTATACTTCCTCAAAATAGCTCAATTCAATTACTTTAATTAATTAATGCAGTCAAAAATCACGGAATTAAATGCACTCTGTTAAATACGTATACCTCAAAAAAGAAATATTTAAATTATATAAAGTTCATTCTCTCTACCACATTAATTGTGACTAAAATAAGAGTCACAACATAGAGCAATATATATATCTACTGTCTGGACAACTAAAATGAATATTAAAAATAATATCCAATCCGGTAATAAAATAAGACAATTCAATATTAACAGGAAGTAATAATCTGTTATCGCTAATTTTGCGTTCAATGATGAACTAATAAAATAAAGCAATTCAATATTAACAGGAAGTAATAATCTGGTATCACTAATATTGCGTTCAGTGATGAACTAATAAAATAAAGCAATTCCATATGAACAGGAAAGTATGAAGTAATAATCTGGTATCACTAATATTATGTTCAGTGATGAACTAATAAAATAAAAATACTCACGATTATTCGATCTCGGTCGGTGCCTCCAAAATAATTATGACTGTGATACTTCTTTGGCAATATGAAGCAACTCCAATAATGGAACACAGAAAAAATTTTATTTAGCACTCAAAATGGCGACATACAAAACAAGAAGAAAAAACAATTCTAACATTTAAAAAATAAATTACATTCTTCGTGCGAGAGTTGCACGTGGCACTCGAGTCTGGTTTCAAATATTGCCATTCACAAATACCTTAATGTTCATCTATTTAAATTATTGAAACTACAAGATTTTAATAATGTTTAAAGCTGTTACAGTCCTTGGTGCCACACTCTGTCAAAAGCTTTGGCAATATCTAATAAAATTGCGCCGGTAGGAAATTTGCAATTGAATCCATCACTAATGTAATTGATAACGCGAAGAAGCTGATGATTGGTGCTGTGCAGATGTCTGAATCCAAATTGTTCATCAGGAATATAAGAGCTAGAAGGCATGATTCAATTAATATAAAACAGAATAATATTTTTAGCAACTTTAGAAATTTGACTTAGTAAACTGATAGACCGATAATTTTGAGGAAAAGTAGAACTTTGATGAGACTTAGAGAAGACAAAAACAACTGCATGTTTCCATGCTTTTGGGAAGTAAGAGAGCTTGATAACTGAGTTAATTATTTTAGTAAAGCACATAATTACATTAATTGGAAGATGCTTGAGTGCTTTGGAAGAAATGCCATCACATCCAGCAGTTTCTTTAGTTTTTAAAAAGCTAATAAATCCGCAACAATTCTCGGAGAGGCGAGGAAGGTGAAATTAAGTGGTCCAGGCTATTAACGAAAAAGGATGCTGTGCAGTTGACTTTGGTAATATGTTCATTATCATGTGGGGAAGCATTGGGAGTAAAGGTATCTTCAAGAATATCAGCGAAAGTATTGGCTTTATCTTCATCAGAGTAAACAAATCCATTGCAACCATCAAGTGGAGGAATCTACTTGAAAGGCTTTTTGAATTTACGAGCAATGTCATAGAGGGAATTGTCTTCAGTAGCAAGAGTGTTTAAGAAGTTGCTCCACCCTTGAGATTTAAATTCCTTGATATCTTTTTTAATGGTAAGATTTTTCAAAGAAGGAAAAACGTACATGAAGAATCAACGAATGGTAGGCCATCTGTATTGAGTCATGCATATCTGTATAGTCAAACATATTGACGACAAAATCCATCAATTCACTATCTCAGAACTTTCAGAACAATATCCGAACATTTCCCGGACTGTTTTGTAGGAGATACTGATCGGAAGGTTAGGCAACAGCAAATACTGTGCTCGAGGATATATAAATATCTCACGAAGAAATTCCACAAAACCAATCGAATGGGTGCTGCCTCAGACTTTCTTTTCCGTTACCAAACGGAAGGGGAGGGGCTTTTGAACAGAATAGTGACTGTCGACGAGACTTGGGTAGCGCATGTGAATGCTGAGACAAAACAACAATCAAAGGCATGGGATATTATCGATTTTCCGATCCGGCTGAGGAAAGCCCATCGAACCTTGTCACCGAGGAAGGTTTTGAGATGCTAATGAAATCTTGCTTGTCGAATTCATGGAACGTGGTACGACAATCAATTTTGAATTGTAGTGCAACACTTTGAGAAAACTGACAAGAGCCATCCAGAACAAACGTCGCTGCGTGCTGACACCTGGGGTTCTGTTCCTGCACGATAGCGCTCGCCCTCACAGTTCTCAGCAAACACATGACTTTTTGCGTCTTGTGTTTGCTGAGCAAATGGAACGTGTTTCAGTATCCCCCTACATCCCGGACTTGGCTCCTTCTGACCATCTGTTGCCTGCAGTGAAGAAGTGGCTTAGGACACAGCACTTCGCTGTTAATGAGAATTTAATGTATGGCAATTGGTTGAAGTCCCAAGAGGCTGAGTTTTATACAGAAGGGATTGATATGTTGCCAAAACGCTATGATAAACGCTTGAATAAAAATGCTTCCTATGTAGAAAATGGAGGACAGCTGTAGCTTTCAGATGTAAGTAAAATTTGTTGAATCTATGCGGTTTTTTTTATTTACAACGAAACATAGTTTTTGAATTGCCCTCTTACTAGGCATGCAATATAATGCAAAGAATTTGCGTAAATTATTTTATATAACTGTAATTAAAATTTATTAACGCTGCATTTAAATTTTTTTAATGTAAGACTGTACGTTATTACTATTTTGCATCAACCAGTTATTTATAATTTCAGCCTGCATTATCAGTTCTCCTGTCTGTTTCCTCACCAAAATGCAAATTATTGAGAGAGTATTCAAGTCGAGGGTTTCGGATTGAAAGACAGAGCGTGTTTCTGCTTCTTGAGGCCATGTTACTAGGTTTCGCCAGTTCTGACAAGATTAAAATTATTTAGCTTATCAGGTTCTGTGTTCCTCCTTACTTGCTTTGGGAACATTAAATGTCCTGACTCGGAACAGGGAGCTTACTAAAGCTATGTTCAATAAATTTGGGAAGTAGACAATACACACAGGAAGGGTTTACGAAACCCTTTATTTTTCTCACTTTACAATGATTTCCGGACTTCATAATACAGAGACAAACCACTTGTCGTCTGAACGTAAGAATATAAAAATATTAACTAAACTCTAACTAAACTTAACTTTGGATTAATCAAACAAGTGCCTACTCCAAGGTTGGCCGTATATTAGCAAAAAGCCGTATGTAGTACAGAGAACTGCTAACACTACGATACGTTTAAAATTATCAAGAGGATTCAACCTCTGGCCTTGAACGCAACCAGCAACCGAGTAACACTACTATGGCAAGCGGCCTGCTGCTAGCTCCTTCCTCTCTCTTGCTTGGCAAAAAGCCACAACTTAAGTACTTGGCGTTCGCAAGACAAATTTGCATAAATAAGTTAAAGCTTTTAATTCTGGCCGGAAGTAGAAAATAAGAAATGATAGTAAAGATTTAAAATAAAATAAACGTTAGTAAAACTTAAGATCCTTACATACTTCCCGACAGAGTTAATTAGTTTGAAACTGAGGTCTAAAACGACCTTGTTGAAATTTTTTAGCTCTAGAATCTAACGCGAGGCCAATCTTTTACAAACATTTCTCACTAGATACTAGAAATTAAAAAAAAAAAAAAGTCGTTTTTACATTATCAACTCCATGGACAATTACTTTTCATCTGCACTGCATCTAAACAGGAGTTCTTAGTTGAAATCTGGTTCCTTTCAGAGATCTGGAAGGAAAACTAGTTTAATGAAATGTTACACAATTAAATGGCAAGTAACATGAATACCTATATTTCTCTTAACATTCTTATTTCATTCATGACGTTTATTTAATTATCTCCCCCGTGCTCTCTGACATGTGTTGTAAAGGAAACACCAAACTCGAACGTGTTTATGTACAAGTGTTCAACACTACCGCCTGCAATCAAAACACTAACGTGTTAAAATTCAACATAACAAGACCCTCAGAACACACACCTTATTTCATCTCTAAACCCTGAGGTACTATTCTGAAAAGTGGCTAACTCTGAAGTGCAGCGTCAGAGAGCCTAACTACATTCATTCAACCTTTAACACATATTCACAATAATTTGCTCTTTTTTTCAGTCACACGAATAAGTTAAAATTTTTTGGCATTACTTTCACTTTTAACATATCACATTATTTCTTAACGTTTAAAATAACAGTTCGCATTGTATATAAGGACATATTAACATGCCGTTAATTTTACGCATTTTAAAACATACATTAGTAGTACATTGTTAACTTCTATTCTTTTCCAAGCAAATGCCAATTCTTCTACATTGAAATACTACGTTTCAAAAGTCTTTCAAACTGAAACTTCTTTCTTGCCATAATCTTTTAACTAAAATTTTATACAATAACTTTTACAATTTTCTTAAGGTACCTTTCTCAAAGATTATCAATGCTTTTACAATATTCAAGTATTTACACATTCATCTTATACATTAATTTTAGTTTTACTCGCGAGTAATTGAAAAACATAATACCAAAATAGGTAACAATTCATTTCTCGCCTTTTTGGCGATAAAGGTAGACCTCACATGAGGTAAAACTTTTTGAATTCTGCCACTTGCAGTAACAATGAAAGATTAACTTAAGATTTCAAAGTAACATAAAGTTTTACTTATCTTTGTGATATTCGGACATCCTTTTTTCTGCCCAGTCCTGGAAGGTAGCGAAGACTTCGTGTTTGGTTTATCCTCCTTCTTGTGCGGGTTCGCCCTTCAGTTCCTTCCTCCATGGAGCTTTCTTTTCCCTCCAGTTCGGTCACCCTTGAAGACCTTTTTTCCGCCTCTGCCTGTGGTCTTGGCCGTTTGATGGCAGCTGGTCTTGGCGGAACCTGGACAACTCTCTCTCGTTCCTGCTTGGATCTCGTTGCTGGCTGTTCAAATTTTCCTTGTTTCTTTGCCTCCGCAGCTGGTGTTCCTTCATCAATTCGTCGACATTTGCTGCTACATTCCTGACATTTGCTGCGTAGAACCGATGGGTAGATCTTCCGTTTTGGAGCCGGGTTATAGTTGCCGTTATTTCTCCTGGCTCTCTTTGCATTCGTCGTACTTCTCCCTTCTTCATTCTGGGGGTGTTCGTGCTCTCTCTTTTCTGGTCGGTGGAACGGTTTCTTTTTCTTGTTACCTTCAATTTTCCAACGGGGAAACTTTCTTTTCAATTGCTCCTCCCTCCTAATGGCTTGCCCTTGTGATTGTCGTTGTTCCACCTCTGGAGCTTGTGCCTGCAGTGCCTGCCGTTCCGGATCCTGCGAAAGATCTTTAATCTTGATTCATATCATAATAAAGTTTCTGTTTTCTCTGTGCTACTTCAGTGTTCTTTTTTGCTTCTTTAATTAATTTTTCTATATCGCCCATTTTAAATTCTGGGGCTCTTTGTTGAACATAAAATAATTTATCTAACGGCGTTATAATCTTTCTGCCTAAAAATAACTCAGCAGGAGTCTTGCCCGTTGTATCATGTTTTGCGGTCTTAAGGGCGAAAGCCAATTCATTGACATAGTTATCCCAGCTTTTATGAAAATATTTAACATAACTACGGATAATTTTCACTATATTTCGATTGACCCGTTCCGCTATATTTGATTGCGGCCGATACGGGACCATTTTTAAATGACGTATGCCCAGTTTTTGGCACATGTCTTCAAATATATTACTTACAAATTGAGGACCATTATCCGATATAACTTTTAGGGGCGCCCCGTATTTTAAAATATATTTATTTAAAATAGAATCAGTAATTAGTTTCGCGGAGGCTCGTTTTAAGGGAACAATTTCGGTCCACTTACTAAAATGATCAACCATAACAAGGAGATACCGACTTTTATTTAACTGACTTTTTGGGAAAGGGCCCAATAAATGGATGCCAATTATTTCATTTGGAAATTCGGATTTAATGCTATTTAGAAACCCGGCCGGGCGGAAATTAATATAATTAACTGTTTGACATGTTGGGCAGGACTGGATATACGCCCTTGTTAACTTTTGCAGTTCAGGAAAATAAACTGCTTCGCGTACGCGTTGGTTGGTTTTTCGAATACCAGCATGAGAAGCTAATGGGCAGTCGTGTAACTCCTGCAGTATATTTAATCTAAGACTAGCTGGGATAACAGGTCGAAATTCGTTGTTGGAATTCGTAGTTTTTGTATAAAATAATAGACCATCTATTAGTTCGTAATGAGCCGCCCTATTTCTTATCGCCACAAATATCTTGGTGGCTAAAATTTTCAGGATCTTTTAAATAATCATATATATATTTTTAAATTCCGGATCCTTACCCAGTTCGGTTATTACAGTTTCTCGGGAATGAATCGTTACATATGCTGTGAGCATTGCCACCTTTACAGTATTACCTTCTTCATCTGTTTTTATTCTAGATAAGGGCATCTGCTACGATATTTTCCTTTCCGGGGTTGTGCTTGATTACCAAATTATACTCTTGTAACTTGAGTGCCCATTCTTATTAACCTTGGGGATAAGTTTTTTCCCCTGAGTATAATCTAGTTACCGCCGCATTGATCAGAATACACTGTTACTGGCGCACTTCCAAAATAGACTCGGAACTTTTGCACTGCTAACAGAACTGCAAGTGCATAATTTCTTTGTGTTTGATTTAAAGTTCGACTAAAAAATGCCACGGGCTGCTGATTTTGCGAAAGTACCGCTCCTACCGCATAATCCGGAGCATCCGCTGAAATTTCTAAATTCTCATCATTTTCAGGAAATTTCAAAACAGGGGCTTGCGTTAATGCTTGCTTTAATTTTTCGAAAGCACTATTGGCTTCGGCCGTCCACGAGAATCTTGCCTTTTTCCTTTTTAATTTTAACAATGGTTCAGCAATAGCTGCAAAATCTTTTATAAAGGACCTATAATATGAACAAAGTCCTAGAAAAGAAGAGAGCTTCTTCGTCGTATTTGGCGGCGGATACTTTTGCACAGCGATTATTTTTGATTCGTCTGTCTCGATTCCGTTCTGAGATATTTTGTAACCTAAGTACTTTAATTCAGGGGCTGCAAATTTGCACTTTTCGACATTAACTTTTAGACCGGCCTCATTTAATAATGAAAACACCTGTCTTAAATCCTGTACATGTTGGTCCAGATTATCACTAGTAATAATAATATCGTCTAAATAGATAAATGGGGCCTTTCCAAGAACAGGCCTTAGCACAATGTCCATACATCGCTGAAATGTTGCCGGTGCCCCTGAAAGGCTAAACGGCATACGGAGAAATGCATAAGTGCCAGACTTGGTTATAAAAGCAGTCTTAGGCACATCTTCCGGTCTAACCCCTATTTGAAAATAACCAGTCGTTAAGTCTAAAGTAGTCATGTATTTGGTAGAAGTTATGTTCCTTAGAAATTTCTTCGAATAATAGGTAACGGATATACCGGATATTTAGTCATGGAGTTTAATTTACGATAGTCAATTGCAAAACGCCACCTTTTTGGATGTGTTTACCAGGATAGTCATTATTT